AAATCAAATTTGAAATCTTTATTGCGGAACGTGAAAAGAAATGAAAATAAAATGCTGTTACAAATAAAATACACACTGACACTGACAAATAGAATATAACACTGACGTCAATGGTTATTATTTTTGCTCGAGAACGTATTTGTAAAATTCAAAAATAGACATCGAGAAAGTTAATTGTTTAAAACATATTTATACTAGTATCAACAATATAACAAAATAAATGTTTCAATAGAAAATTGTTTATTAGAACCTAACGCTGTGACAACGCTAGTAACATTAGCAAATAATAACAACACGATTTTACTATATAGAATAGCAACATTTATAATATTCTGCCATAAACACGTAACACCAATATTGAGACTGTTGCCAATAGAGTGAAAGAGCAACTGTTTCATCGATTCTGACAGTAAGATGGTATCACTATACCCAGTAGTTTATTACCAGGAATACTATAATAACATATTGTCATGTTACCGCGAGAAAAATACTGCGTTATATGCATGCACGTATTTCAATTCGTTTTGATGCATTTTATATATATATAGAACTAGTTAGAAACTTAAAATATAATATATACAATACTAATATATATTTATATATATTTATAATACAAATATAATATATATTTAACTGTAATATTTATAATATAAATATAATATATATTTAAATATTTTAAATATAATATAAATTTATATATAAACATAATATATATTTTAAGTTTCTAATATATATTTAAAAACTTTATATATATATATATATATATTTCATTTCCATTGCCAATTCAAGTTTCGTGATGCGGAACACCTTGCACAAAGATGAAAATTAAATGACTCGAAGCTTCCTTTGAAGAAAGGAAACAATGAACTCCCGTAGCAAAGGCGCAGACAATGCGCCACCAGCACGAGATTACAACCGTACGAAAGGAAAATCGAATTACCTCGAAAGTAGCCTAATTTAATCTCGATGAACTTTTTTCACATATCTCCAAGACCCAACGAAAGATTCCGAAGGTTCTATCTAGCGTTGGGGACGCTTGAAAAAAAAAAAAAAAAAACGTGTCATCGGTGGCTCTAACTCTCGGTTCGATAATCAGAGCCGCCGAGCTGGCTTGAAAGAAGCAGAGAGTGGGGAGGGAAAGAGAGCAAATGAGTGGGCGGACTAATTAGCCAATTTCGTTGCGTCACGTTCACGAAAGGTAAACGGATAAACCCGGCAACAGAAAAAACTCGAAACTGCTTCCACTTTATCAGTTACTTATGCAAATTTGCCTGCCAAACGGTGTGCACACGCCTTGCTGGGAACAAGGTCGACGCACGCCGTCTCTGTCTCTCCGCCCCGCGAAAAACAACGCCGATAAAATCGGCGCGAGTTATTTTTGTTAAGGCGCTTATCAAAGATATGAAGATAAAGATGTTACGCAATTTTGCGAAAAACGCGAACATTTTGGAGCAATTAGAAACTACACTGCGAGAATTATTATCGTACCACAGTGGCTCGAGGATACAATTCGGCGTTTGTGTTGCGTTATATACAAAACACAACTGTTACACAAAAATATTATCAATATTATAAAAATTGTACTATAAAAAATATTATCAACCATTATAAAAATACGATCAGACAAGATTATTATAAAAATTAAAATACTTATATATTTTTACTATATCTTTCTAGTATTATTTTTATTTATATTATTTTATTATATTATTATAATTTTATTTATAATATTATTTTTATAATATTGTTATAAAAGTTAAAATACTTTCGTCAACTTTACTGTACGTGCAATATATTTGAAACTAAATTTAATTGGTCATTAAAAAATCAGAATTCGATGAATCATTAAGAAATTCAAAGCTGGATCTGATCATTAAAAAACTAGAATTCGACGCGAGAACAATTCAAAGGAACAATTTAAAAGTTTCAAACGATTTTAATCTTTTGAATGGAAAATTCTAGCTGAATTAGGAAAATGCGCGTATCACTTCCATTATTACCGAAACGTGGAACATTCAGTCGTTCTCTATGCTCAGACACTGTGTTCCTCGATTACTTGTTATGCATGAGCATATGCATGAGCGATACTTCTGACGTAACGCAAACTTATGCTAATCAGAAATAGGAGAGGAGGAATATCGCTTCGAACGTTCTCTTTTTAATTGACACTTCAAACTTCAAACTTCAAACTTTTATAATTTCGACAATTCTATGAAATCGACATGCTTTTCGCGAATTGAATTTACAAAAAAATGAAGTTCAAAACTGAACTTGGTAAATTTAGTACCTGCTAATATCGTTCGTACGAACGTTCATCAATTTATGTTAAAACGTTAACGTCGTAAAATTTTTCTCCTCGTTTCGCAGCAACACGGAGGCGAGCTTCCAGAAGCCAAAAATTATACTTGGCGTTTCCTCGTAACTGACTTCGCGTGCATATAGTTAATTTCACTTCCATTTTATGGTTCACCTGCATTCTCACATTTTTACTAGTGTATTCGTGTGTTTGCTGTATTTTTTACATTTCGCTAGTTGCGGCGTACCTGCATAAATTGCAATTGTCCGCTGAAAGCGACGACCTTGAAAGAAAAACCTGATGCAGAGACGGAGGGAATATGTTGTACGGCACTTTTAAAATTTCATTATCTTGAATCGTGACGCAAGCGTGATTAATGATCGTGATCATTCATTACAAAATAATTTCTTGCTACGTGATATCGAATCACGTTCGATCGGTATGTATCGAAATACAAACGAAATTTGATCGTAGTTCCAATCTTTACTTTCATTCGTATTCGAATATTCCTCAAAATAGATGAATAATTCTGACGTGGTCATCTTTTTAGAAAAAGTGTTCTTCGACGATCGAAGAACTCGGAGAAAAAGCAAGTCCGGTACTTTGACAAGCAAAATGCGTGCTTTCACTATCGACAAAGAGGATGGAAACGGTTTCGCGTATTTTTCTGGACCTTTCACGGGAAGATGAATGAAAAAGAACAGAAATCAGAGAGAGCCGGCTAATTCTTCGAACAACAACAACGAGACGGACAGAATCGGAAAAGCGGCGCGATCGTAACTCCGTGCAACCGTGACGGCTGACATTAATCGCTGCCACGTGCTACCTATTTGTCTTCGCCAGTTCGAGAACCGACCACGTTTGCCCAACAATCCATGTTCCCATGGTTTCTGCATGTCTGAAGGAAATCTTAACGCGCCGTTTCTTCTCGAAGGAATTTCTAAGATTTTACGATACCTTTAGGACACTCGCGCGACAAAAGAATTTAACGAAATTATCTCTTCAACGTCTGAACATTAATTAGTGGCTCTATTCTATCTCTCACTATTTCGGATTAATTTAGAGAAGAATTTCTTCATCCCCTGAAGAAGAAATTTTTGTCTCTTCTCATTTTACATAATTTAATGTAATTAATATGATTTATGTAATAATTATATAATTTGTTTTTATAATTTATACTGTATCTGTGCCTATAGTTTCACGAAAACAGTTTATATCCGGTGATATCGAGAATTTGCTCGTACTTTCTATACGAGGAATTTTAGATTCTCCTATAGTCGTCTGATTTTAGGCTGTGTGAAATCTTAAAAGCTCCGTTTCTAATGAAGACATCCCACTTCATATACTCGGATAATATCTCAATAACTACTTTCGCAAATTGCACCACGAATATTTATGCCAATATCAAAGTATTATAAAATTTATTACAAGATTGAATGTAATAATGATTATACTTTGAATAGTTCTTTGCTAACATTTTTGCATTTTTCGATTTTGCATAAATACATAAACATTTGCACTGTGTATTGTATAATAATATGATAGATGAGATATGTAGTATTATAATATAATAAAATATAATGCAATCTGTATAAGATTTCTTTATATAAGATGAGAAAAATTTATAGACATCAATTCAAAATATTAGTTGCTCGTTACGCGAGAACTACGACAATCAACAAAATTTTTAATAACTCGAAATAATTCGTTACGTCAAATTACAAGAAATCGAATTTTGGCGAAAAAAATTTTCATCAAATGTTTCGATGAATCGTGGCCAAATTTACATAACGCTTAATCGTCGATAAGCAATGTTCGATCGGATGGAACGCGCGATCGACGGAAATTTTAACGAACGTTCCACGCGGGAACGCGGTGTGCGCGACGAGAAAGCGCTGATAAGCGTATTTTTCTACGTGGCACGCGGAAGAAGGGCACCTAATATGACTCTCTGGAGAAATAAGAACAACATTGTGAACGCGACACGCTGACGCGTAAACACCGCTTCGTAGCACGAAACGCCAAACTACGACACACGACGTATGTAGATTCTAATAAAAACGCAATAAAAACGCGACCGTAAACTTGTCGTGATTACGTCACGTAGCTTCGATCGTCGCGTATCGTAATTTTACGTATTGTATTTCCCTTCGTTCTCGAAAACGGAACCGGTCGCGACACGTCTGAATCGACGGTGAATCGGAGCCGAAGCCACGATACAACACGACGAGAATGACAAACAGCTCGTTCACGAGTGTGTTCGAACACTTGGCTATCAACAGCGTTCAAAGATTGAAAGACAAAAGATAACCAGAGACATATGGGAATCGTTCTCACAGAGAGAAACGTGCGAGCAAGGCCTTGTTTACTGTAAAATGCGTGGCATCCGCGTTTGAGGACGTTTTTCAGGTTAATGTCGAAACGTAGTACGACCGTGAGAAAAGGAAGCGTGACTGATCCGCGTCGAGTGATCCTTTTCGTCTACTCGAGCTGTGTCACTCTCAATTTCGATCGAACGACGGCGACGTTCGACAAGGTGTGCAAGAATCACGCAATTGTACCGTGTGCTCGTTGTGTTCGCGTACGCGCGTTTGACAGTTCCGGCTGACAGATTCGATCGGATGTCGCAAAATCGGCGGGAATGACCGTGAAATCGGCAGCCGGCACGCAAGGGACGGATCTTGGAAATTTAATCATTACTCACCAGATGAAGCACGGTGTTGACAACTTCCCGATTCGACACCTGTCCCACTTCGATCAGCCCGATCAGCACGGCGAATTTCAGGCTGTCGTTCATCGCCATCGCCACCACCTCCTCCGGCCGTTTAATGTCACTGAACGGTGGACTTTTCATGTCCGCCATTACGACGGTGATTTAACCTGACAGCACGTTTCCCTCGCGAGGAGAATACACAATAGTTTGCGCAGCGACCGTCTTATCAACGAGAGCTTTTCCCCGTCACATGATAATACAACACAAATTGATCTGCCATGTTACAAAGTAGACACTGTTATGAGGAGCCTGCCAGTACGGCAACGCGAAACACCCTAGCGACCCGGCCGCAGTACCGACACTAACTGAGCCCTTAAATTCCTACCTGAGCGGCGTGCGCCGTTGTGGTGGGGAGATGGCGCGACTTTCAAACTGCTTAACACTTTCGCGTACAAACATCATACGTTGCTCTATGCATTTGCGACTGAAAATAACACCTTCACTGCCATTTCGGCCATATTAAGTTTCCAGTAACGTCAATAATATCCGGCATTATAGATGCACAGACAATGCTACGAACGAGATGTACAAAATTCTTGTGGGAACGAACGTGTTAATAACCACGACGATAATATACATGGAGACAGAATATAAATCTTAAAATGATGCGACGATAAATTATTTTTGTTAGGAAGCCGCTGTTTGGTCTGTCGTTTGCATACAAACGTCTGGCAATGATACTATTGATTTATCTTCAATGATCTCAATTGATACCGATAAAATGTACAAAAAGTATGGACACTATGTCGCGTGTTTGTAAAACCACTTTTATGCATATCGAAATACGTACGAAATACATATGTATGTGTTTGCTTTTAGTGAATAAACACTGTAGATTTAATAAATTACGATGTGTAGGTGTATGGTGTACAGTACAGGGAGCTGCGACATAGCATGAGTAACGCACGCGTCACTAGCAGTAAAAATGGCGTCGGCAGATGTTGAGCGTGCCAAGGTAGGTGTCATTTTTTTTGAATTTTCCGCCCATCTTACGCTATACCTAGTGATTATTTCTATTAGAAGGAATCACGCATTTAAATGCCCATATTCGTGTTTAAACACGTATCTAATCCTTTGGTAGTATTCGCACAATGTTTACAATCTGAAGGGCGTTGGTTCTCTATTCTGTCATAACAATAGTATTCTTGATAACGCTCTCCCTATATGGAAACTATAATATCCGGTCGACTTACTATGGTCAGTGATCGTGTTCCCTTCATATTTCCAGATGGAATCTACCATACGTAATTTAAAATTGTCTGGTCATGTTGGATTTGACAGTCTTCCAGATCAATTGGTAAATAAATCTGTTCAAAATGGATTTGTGTTCAATATTCTATGTATTGGTAAGACAAACATCTCGTTACTCTTTAATACGTATATGTGTAACTATAAATTTTTATAATCATTAATGTTTATAACAGGTGAAACTGGACTGGGAAAATCCACTCTTATGGATTCCCTTTTCAACACAAGTTTTGAATCTATGCCAAGTCCACATAATCTTCCTGCTGTGAAGCTCAAGGCACACACCTATGAGTTGCAAGAGAGCAATGTCAGATTAAAGCTTACCATTGTTGACACAGTTGGTTATGGAGACCAAATTAATAAGGAAGATAGCTTTAAAGCTGTTGTTGATTACATAGACGCCCAATTTGAAGCATATTTGCAAGAAGAGTTGAAAATAAAGAGGTCTTTGCCAACTTATCATGACAGTCGTATTCATGTCTGTCTATATTTTATTTGTCCAACAGGACATGGGTAAATATATATAGTGTAAAATATTTCTTATGAAAAAATTTATTACTTTTATTCCTATATTAACTGCTACTGTATAATTACAGATTAAAATCAATTGATCTAGTCTGTATGAAGAAACTTGACACAAAGGTCAATATTATTCCAATTATTGCTAAAGCTGATACAATATCAAAAACAGAACTGCAAAAGTTTAAGGTATGACAAAAGTTATAAGCACTACTTGTATTTTTTCTATCAATTTTTATATTTATCGTTTATTGCAGACTAAAATTATATCCGAATTGCAAAATAATGGAGTTCATATCTATCAATTTCCTACGGACGACGAAAGCGTTACAGAAATAAACACTAGTATGAATGCTCATGTACCTTTCGCAGTAGTTGGCAGCACAGACTTTGTTCGTGTTGGAAACAAAATGATGCGTTCTCGTCAATATCCATGGGGCACCGTACAAGGTAAAACTCAAATTGTCAATTACAAATTGTCTGTTGATATTAAAATAGATTATTTTGAATCGTGCGGTTTTCTTTTTTTTTTTTATATATATATATAGTGGAGAACGAATCTCATTGTGACTTTGTTAAATTGCGAGAAATGTTAATAAGAACAAATATGGAAGATATGAGAGAAAAGACACATGGTCGTCATTACGAACTATATCGTAGAAAGCGGCTAGAACAGGTAATTTTTTTCATAAAATACAATTTCTGAAAGATTCAAGATGTAATTATTTATCATTATGATCCTCAGATGGGATTTAGCGATGTTGATAGTGAAAATAAACCAGTTAGCTTCCAACAAACTTGCGAAGCAAAAAGATCCATCCACTTGCAAGAGCTTCAACAGAAGGAAGATGAAATGCGACAAATGTTTGTAGCACGAGTGAAGGAAAAAGAGGCTGAATTAAAGGAGGCAGAGAAAGAGGTAATCTTCCGTACTTGACTAATTTTTAATTTAATTCTGCCTTTTGGCAAAAGGTACATATAATAATTTCACTTTTTGCACGTATTATTCAGCTGCACAACAAATTCGATAAATTGAAAAAAGATCACACAGAAGAAAAGAAAAAGTTGGAGGAAAGTAGAAAGAAGCTCGAGGACGATATTTTAGAATTTAATAGACGAAAAACTCAATTCGCTCAACAACCTCAACATCATACATTAACGTTAGGTAAAAGTAAGAAGAAATAAAAATGTCTGCCATTGACGCTACAATAAATAAATACAATGTCCCATTTTATACTTCTGCTTATATGAGTATTATTAGGATTAAACAGAGATTAAAATTAAATTATCGAACGTTCCCAAAAGTTATAATTTATACTGCATTTTTGTGTATTTCTTTACTCGTAGACGTTATCTTATATTAGACTGATTATCGTAACAAAAGTGATGTTTAACCAAATTTAATTTACTTTTTGTATCAATACGTGCACTTTAAGAAAAATAAAAATATATTTGTTACTTACAAATATACCTGTTTTGCAATCAATTACACTTACTGTGTTTGTAAGAGATTCGTAATTAAATATTTTATTGCTCAACAAAATATAACAATTAACACAATAATGTCGTACTTAAATAAAACTAACGTTATTAGCGGTATACAATATATATGAAATACAAGAACTGATTACGAGCTAACTTTACAGAAGCATGTTTTGATTACTAACGTTAAGTAAAAAATGAAATTAAGATGTATCATATAATCATATCACATTACAAATCATTAGAAAAGAAACAGATTACCATTTATGATGGTATTAAAGATGCCCATCGTGCATTGCGATATTTATAATTTAATTAATAAATCTCATAGGTCCGATGTTTGACTTTTCAATAAAAGTACGCATAATATTACACAAATAAATGTACATTGACAATTAATATAAGCAAATGCGCGAAATCATTTTCAATTATAAAATTTCATTTGACGAGGAAAGAAAAGAAAAAAGTACTTTAGAATACTCTGCATTTAATTAAGCAGGTACTTAATTGTACTGTAGATATACTTATCGAGTAACGCATATTTACGATAATAATATAATATGGCGGAATCATTTCGTTCGTGCATAGCAGTAATGACACTAAACGTATTCGCGAAATAAAATTTTCGAGCATTGGAATTGGAATAGTTTGAATAATTGATTGCGTTATAATTTACAAATAAATACGCTTTGCGAATACGAGTGAAATAGATTACACTCTACGCTTCGAATAATAGTAATTGACGAAATGTACGCAACGCGTATACTATGATACAAAATCAATTTAGACGAGACGAAAATTAATTTAGGAGTCTCTCTAGGAATATGAAAAAGCTCTGAATGACAATGTTAATAGCCTCAACGTGCCGACATTGCTCGTCGTATATTTCTTTGCTTTGGTATTCCCTTGCACACTGTGTCCTTGCATTTCTGTGAACCGAATAAACACACGTCGTCTTGTAATGTCGTCGCTACAATATATCCTTTGTGTTACCCCTTAACCTACGTATTTATTATAAAAGTACAAAACATATATTATGGCAGTTATCGTGAAGCATTCTGCGTGTTAGCCGATTTAATTACGTATCGATTATGTGCCAAAGTGTAAAAATTATCACCAGGGTCGGTAAGATATAAGAATAGTATAAAAAGATAAATTTCTGGATCATGAAAATGATTGAAAGATGCCACTCTTCGAACGTGACCGTACGATAATACGTGATAACTATCTATGTCAATCCTCTGTGATCGATCTAACAACGAATGATCCAATATTCCAAGCGTACGATTAATCGATATAACCGACCCTGTTATTTTATTACATATTACTATGTGCCTTATATTGCTTATCGCGAGATATATTTAAGTGCACTACCGAGGTTTACCCGTGCGGGCCGCAGCAATGACCAAGTATAAATAATTATTGTGATTATCGCGTATTCGTATTCTTCTCAAAATACATAGTAATCCCGCAACATCTCGCAAAACGATTACCTATCCTTCAACGATTTGCATTTCTATCAAAAGACGGAGTCGTTCGATTCAGTTAAGTTGAATTTGCTTGTATTGCAATAGCTCTATTTAGACCGAGACAAGATCGATTTAAAACAAATGTTACCTGAGTCGTTAATTGCACTTTCTCCTAATTACACGCACGGCTCAACATCGAAGGCTATAAGGCAGCTCGTTCGAATCGCGGATAGACTGTGTGCTGGTCGATATCTTCAACGTAAACGACATTCCGAGATGAGCCATTATTGCCCGTGGTCATTTCCATGCGCGTACACGTATGTATACATGTATATACCATTACGAACTTTGGTCATTGCGGTCTTACTGACTACCTCTACCAGGTGCATTGCCCTTTCGTCTATTTCTGTTAGACAGTTTCCAAATCAAGCGTTAATATGCCTGTTGTCCGTGGAATGTGTGAAACACTCTTGACTGTTCGTAATTAAAACAGCCGAAACAAATGGGAATCGTCGTTTCGTACGTACGTACGAAAAGGCAAGTCCTTGTACTTTCAAACGAACGCGTGAGAAAGCGCGAGATAAATACGAATCGCACTTTCATACGTACATATATATATATATATATATAGTACGTATATACCTTATAACGCGAGCGCAACATACATGTGAATGTACAAAAAAGATAAGCGAGTATGTATAAATCTATACAATATGTTCGTCGTGAGAGATTCGTACGTTTATAAAAAATGGTAATAAAAAAAGAAGACAAGTGTCGGCGATTATAGCGCGAAAATCTCGAGTCTCCTCGATGAAGAAGAAGATGGCATATTAAACACTCTTGTTAGGATCAACATGAAACGTTAGTGCTCCCCAACCTTTTATTACATGACATGTAAGAAAAAGATAGTGCCGTCCCCTGTATAATTTATGCATGTATATATATATATATATATATATATATATATATATATATATATATATATATACACACACACATATGAGAGACAGTGGTGCACTGGTCCGAGTTCTACCGTGTCTAATCGCGTTTGCTGATGAGTTATTCAAACGATGTCTGAAAAAAAAGACCGTTATCCGAAAGAACAGCGGAAAATTCGATTAAAGACGTTATTGATCTCTGTATTCTACGTTCTTTATTCTTCAGATTCGTTCTTTATTCAACGTTCCCGCGGTTCGTCCGTCAGCGCAGTTTCTACGATCCAAGTAGAAAGACGAATCGAGACAACGTGTGGCTGGCCACCATAGATAGACCGTCTGTCTCTCCACTTGTGACGAACAACGGTATGAACGGTGAAGTAGCGTGGACTTGTAAAACAGGCACTGTGCTTTTAGGCTAGCGGGCCGAGACGGATTCCGGCGGGGGACTGCGATACTTGGCTCGGATAGGAAGAAAGTTGGTGAGTTTGTTGCCGTGAGGCGAAGGCGGCGTGCTCTCGCGGTTGAGGGTCCTCACCTGACAGGGGTCGTGCCTCGCCAAGAAATGCTCCAACGTGTCCCAGCCCCCGCCCACTCGGACCATCATGTGTCTCCCCTTCAAAAGCTGCGAACACGTCGGGCAGAATCGTCACGGAAAAACGTTCAAAAAACGTAGAGAATATTTGTTATCTACTGCTAGAAACGAGGAATACGCGATATATGTACGTACCCTGATGAATACATTTCGTCCGGCAATATGATACCGTCCTTCGCCGACTTTGCGCACCTTCAGCTTGGAGCATCTCTCGGAGGGACACTGGCAGAGTCTCTGCACGGCTTCCGTGGCTCTTCTTACCTGAAAAACGGCGAAACGGGTCACGCTGGCACGTACAAATGTCGGCTACAAAATCGAAGCGACGTACTTTTACACGGTGCAAGCTTGTCACCTTGAGATAAATCGGTTCGACGTGTCGATGGAACGTCCGCTGCGTGCGACACGCAGGAATCCAACACGCGAGGATCCACGCACACGTGAAAAAGCTTAAAGCAACCCGTTCGTAACCTATTGTTTTCTCCTCTCCCCTCTTCTCTCTCTCTCTCTCTCTCTCTCTCTCTCTCTCTCTCTCTCGCCCGTGGCCACGGCACTCACGACGGACGTGACACAACGCGACGCGACATACGCCTTGTGCGCGCAGCGAATTGCTCGCCCAAGTCGCGGTCAATGCCAGTTGCGTTACTCGTTGATAACAAAGCGAAATTCGTTCCCTCTCGGAGACAAGGGAGAGGAGACGGAGTGCTTCTCTTGCGTAATTGGTTTTGCATGTCAATGAAACGAGAATAAGAGAGAAGGTGGTAATGCCCGTTGTCCGTTGGATAACAGGCAGCACTAATTTTGCACTTATTCCGCGGCTAGTCTCTGAGTGGACTCGAGCTCCTGCTCGAATCTTGGCGAGCGTATTTGCTAATGTGAAATGCATGTAAGCGAAATGCAAGAGGAACGTGATAGAAATCCTTAAACCTGTATCTCTCTGATAGGATGCGATTTCCATCCATATTGTACGGTGGAAAATGTGTAATTACTATACAGGGTGTCGTGTAACTGGGGGAAGGTGGTGATTCTACATGAAAAACTGAATAAAAAAATATGGAATAAAAGTTTCTCATACGAAGCTTCGTTTCCAAGAAAAATAGCTTTGAATGTTTATCGAGTACGCGTGCACTTGATCAAGATTCAACTCAATTATTGGGAGACGTTCCTCTTGAGAGAAATTTAATTTACCATCGCATTTCAGTCGTGAAGTGAGAAATTTTTTAAACGAAAACTACCAATATTGGATCGGCCGCAATGGAAGAATACTTTGGCCACTGCTGAATTTTTACTTATGGGGTCGTGTTAAATCTATGGTGTATTCTAGCGACATAGCGAACGTTGAACAATTAAAAGAAAAAATTATTACAGCGTTTGCAACATTGAAACTACAAAATAACACATTAGAAAACGTTCGTAGAAATTTAATAAGAAGAGCACAGTTAGGCATGCAACAACGTGGACATCGCTTCCAACAATTTTTAAACTAAAAAAAAATTGATGAAAAATAGACATTCTGTGTCCTCGCGTACGAACATTGCGAATGTTTACAAATGTTAGTAGAGATAATAATGAAATTCGTCGAGTTGAATCTTGATCAAGTGCACGCGTATTCGATAAACATTCAAAGCCATTTTTCTGCTTCGTATGAAAAAATTTTATTCTATATTTTTTATTCAGTTTTTCATGTAGAATCACCACCTACCAGATACAATAGAAGATATAAATACCTGACACCCGGAACTTTGCCAAAATATTTAAGAGAGAGGAGAAGGAACGGAGAGCAGAGAATACTGGCTAGAGCGAGATGCGGTTCTACCGAAAATGCCAACAAATTTTGGGCTAAAGAAGCAGAGAGGAAATGTCCGCTATGTGAAGAGGAGGAAGGAACGTTTGAGCACTGGAAACAATGCAGGGAATTAGGAGAAACCGGTCTCAACATAGAAAGGATCCTAGCGGAAGAGGGTGATGCGGAAGCGGTGGCTTGGCTCAGAAAAATTGAGAAGGAAAAAGACAGAAAAAGTAACAGAAAACTAAATATAGAGACACAACTAAAGTAGAGAAAGTATAGTACCAAAGAGAAATATATTAAGTGTAGAGGCAGTGTGCAAATATCATTCTCTATTAATCTAATTAGTCTATGTATAGTATAAAGTTAGGTTAAAGCATGCAATACTAGATGTAAGGGAAAACTTGACAACCAAGGGAATTAAAAAGGAAAACAAAATGTAAAGAATAATGTAAGGCACTGAGGTCTATTTCTAGGCCGAAAGGCTGAAATAAAGATTCATTCACTCGTAGATGTAGAATCACCACCGGCTACATGACACCCTGTGTAAATTTATCTCGAGATCGGGGCACGTTGTGACAAATGAAATTGCCGTTTCGTAAAGTAGCTCCGGTACTGTTACAGAATTAATGCAAAGTAATTGGCGCATGACCCGAATATCTCGTCAAAGGTCGACTAAGCGAGAAGATCGATATGCGAAAAGTTCACGAATACGCGAACAATACGCTTGCCCGGGGCGATTTTATATAGAAACGGGGGATCAACGTACCTTGCGATCGAGTTCCGTTATGGGGCCGGTGTGTTCCGGCGGCTCGGCCGGCGAGGGCAAAGGTGAACTCGACGGCGATGGAAGCTCGTCCGGGTCCTCCGCGCTTCCTCGAGACCACTCGTCCTCCGTCGTGTCGCTGGGAACTCCGTCGCTGCCCGCTGGCCCATTGTCGCTCACCGACCTCCTCATCTCCGGCTCGTGCGTCACACCGGTGCTCGGGTCCAGCCATCTTGTCGCCGTCAACGCGACTTCCGACGCCGAGCTGCAGAGACATCGAAATATCCATCGAAATTCCGCTCCCATTCCAAGAGTCTTTCGTTTCGAAAGACCTTATAATCTTATCCACGTAAAAAATTATAAAATTCTTCGCAAACTGCGAGAGGCACCAATGGGAAGATCATCGAAGATCGTAGGATCATAGAGGTTGAACTGATTGAGTTTTTTTTTTTTTTTTACTTCTTTTACTTTTAGTTCCTACAAGAAGACTTGCAAGATTTACAAGGGCACCAAAGTGTATAAAAGTAGATTATAAGAATACAAGATTATACGACAGAGCAGAGGATAAATTAGTTCCATAAGAAAGATGTAAAGAGATGCACGTTGTAAACCGGAAGCCGTCCTAAACCGCCTAGGCAAGGATCATAATAAATAAAAATAAAAAAAAAAAAACAATAAACTGACTGAGTGGAACGTCTTCAGCAAGTCAAATTACTTGAAACATCAATTGTACGATAACGATCTTTTTTTACTTTTAGTTCCTACAAGAAGACTGCAAGATTTACAAGGGCACCAAAGTGTATAAAAGTAGATTATAAGAATACAAGATTATACGACAGAGCACAGGATAAATTAGTTCTATAAAAAAGATGTAAAGAGATGCACGTAAGCCGTCCTAAACCGCCTAGGCAAGGATTATAATAAATAAAAAAAAAAAAAAAAACAATAAACTGATTGAGTGGAACGTCTTCAGCAAGTCAAATTACTTGAAACGTCAATTGTACGATAACGATCTTGTCGAGAACGGCGATGGAAATGGAAATGAAAGTAGGAGGGGGAGAGGCGAAAAGGTACCTGCTGTGTTTGATCTTCTCTGTCGGAGGTTTGGGCGTTGCGGTCGGCGACGGCGATTGAAATTGCCAAGAAACCAGGCTGCTGTGGGATATACCGCTGTCTGACAGACAGTGGAGATCTCGCTCTTGTTCCGCGGCAATTTCCCTCTCGAGCTGCACGAGTCCTGGTGGTTCGACGGAATACCTCGACGCCAGTCGAGCCACTTCCAACAGGCACAACACCACGTTCCGTGGCTGTCCGTGTAACACTGTAAAATTAAAGGTTAAAAATTATCTTGTGATAATTTGAAGATGGAGAAAGCATGTATGTACGTCTGTCACGTCAGCTGACTAATAATCTTTTAATGCATTACGTATTCATTTGGTCCAACCCGCGGCCCTTCCGACCATAAAATGCGAACAATTAAAATAATTGAACAAGATAATTTTATTATTTGAATAATTTTAACTACGAATGATCATATCTTTTTTTTTTTAATTTAGTGTAAATAATTTCCAAGGGCCAACGGAAATATTTTTTTATTTTAGACGATTGACGTATTTGTTGCTCCATATTCAGTTGGTTTCATGATGTTGCCAACGAACGTGCAAATGGAACGTATATTGCAAGCAGATATACAACTCGAGGAGAAATTTATCCAAGTGTCTTTGTTAGACTTTCGCGTCTGCCTAAAACTAAAATAAGAACAAAAATCTTGAAAATGCCAACTGTGTTAAACCAGATACTGATGAACTAATCTGAAAAAAAACAAGCGTAAAAATTTTCATATCTTCTTAATTATTATAAATATATCTCTCTAATCAATGTACCGTTCTGTTTCACTATAAAAGTTATTTTAACATTCTCATAAGTAACACGGATCGCTGATAAAAAAAAATATGTAAACTATACCCTCGACAAATTTTTATTGAGACCTAGAAGATCCAAAAGGTTGGACACTCATGGTCCAGCTAGAGAGAACGGCGAAGAAAAAAGTTTCATACGCAATTACGTTCAAGTTGGCATTGATTTACGCGTGCTGTAAAATAGTTTATACAGTGGCCGGCTACATATTTATTCATGAGTCAAGGAAAATGTTATCAGAGCGTAGAAATCATTACAATTCGGGGATACACACCAAGGCCGTGCGAAATATATTTCGATGAAAACTTTCTATCTTAAGTTTATACGGTATTATAAATAGACGTTACACATACATAATTTATCAGCTGCTTCGAAGCTCTTCGATGTTTCAGTTTCTCTATTTGCAAGGCTATCGCTACATTGAGTTAAATGACACGTTACAGTTCGTGCATTCGAGTAGGCTATAAAATTGCAAGGCAGGAGACTCGTTGCGAAAAAGAAAATGTAGATTCTATTTACAGAGCGTAAGTGGTGACACCCTCGACCTTCTTCAACTCCCACAACTCTAATTGATCAATTCAGCCTACATTTCGTGGTACATCTCGTTTAATCATTCAGACAGATCGTTTTAACGAAACGTCACTGTAATAAAACTTTAGCCCTATTTCTAAGTCTAAGAAGGAGGTTTTACGTTTTTTTTTTTTTTTTCTCGGAATAAAAAGTATCGATAATCTTCGATTCATATACTGCGCAGCTTCCAATGTTAAAAACAATCGTTCTCAATGAAGAGACACAAAGAAAAATTCATCCCTGACGAGCTTCAACTGCTTTCGTTTCCCCTTCCATGGTCCACAGGGAGACAAAAGCTTTGTTCCACGTTAAAATTACATGCCTGATGTACGATTCTACGTTTCTCGTTCGCGAGGACAAGCGTGACACAAAAATCTAGATTCATCGACTCCCGTTTCCAACCGAGAAGAATTACAAACTTGACAAGTCAAGCTACAAGAGACAAAGGGAAAAAGGAGAAGCTCCGCCATTATATTTCGTCCCTATTGTATCGAGCTTCGGACGTGAGTCGCGTTTTAGCGTCCACATTCGAGCTCGTATAAGTCAGCTCTATTTTAGGTGTATATGGCGGCAGAGTGAAAACGGAATAATGCGAGGAATTATATCTGAGAAACGCAAGTTGTTAAGATATAGATTACGATTAAAAACGAAATGTGCAAAGATATTAATTGCCAATTATTAATTATTAATTATTAATTAATCGCGTGATTAACACAAATCGGATTATCTTTGAAAAGAATCCTGTGACTATTAGTTACTGTTTCTCCGTTCGAAAGACTTTCGAGTTCATGAAAGAACGAGGCTACGCATTATCGTTCGAAAGTTCGAACATGTTGAAAGATAGAGTAGGGAAGAGTAAATATCGGAAATTATTCTTCATTGGCCATTGTTCTCCCTCAGTTGCCGCACTTCAAAGTTTCAGTGTACGTAGTACGTAAACGAGAGCTCGATCTCGCGACATAAGCGCCCCCCGCGACACGTGACGCGGGAGACCATTTTGTACGTAATCCTGATGCTCCTCTACTTCCGTAATTACGTCAGCCATTGTTTCTTGGTTGCACTGAAAGTCGGCCGCGAGCGAGAAATGACATTTTTTTCTTTATTTCTGCCGCGAGATGCGATTAATTCGCGGCGATTATTCTTCCGAGTATTCTTTGATGGCCCCTTTGAACTCGCATAGGCAGCCGACATTTACCAGAACAGTGACGAGCAAAACTGAACACACACATGGATTTTTGGACATTAGCAATATTTTATTTAACAATTTATTTTGTTTGCACGTAGAATACAAAAATGGCACAAAGTACAAGAGAAAGCAAGATATTTACTGTTTTATAGAATTTATATTTATGTTATTTACATTTATATTTATATTTATATTATTTACATTTATATTTATATTTATATTTTTATTATTTATATTTATATTTATATTTATATTTATATTTATATTTATATTTATATTTTGGCTTTTCCAAAAGAATTTTGTGATCATATTACTATCATTGTTCTGGCAACTGTAAACTATTTTCGTGGAGTCAGTTTGGCGAAATGAAAAATCGCCAAAACTATAAATTGTTATAACTCCGTTAAAAAAGTCCTAACAATCTACTCTCAGTCTCGTTTTAAAATGTAAAACTTCTATTTTCACTAATCTGAATTCGTTTCTCTTTTCCAAGACATTTTAATATCATGTGAAGAATGGCAAAGTGTAAAAAATTCACACAAACATGAAAACACATCAAAATTTAGATCTTAGACGATTAAAGTTTTCCACTTACAACAACTTGCTTTCCATCATTTCATTGAACTTTGAACAACAAAAGTTCCCAACATTTCGTCATCTAACTTAAATGCTCAACGTTCAATAAAATTCGGACAAGTTTCAAGGGATCGTCTAAAAGAAAACGTTTCAAAATCAAGTTGAGAAAAGAATTTTTACGATTTCTGAGGATAAAAGTCTTACTTAATTTCTCACCTGCTACTTGATATAAAAATATCTTTGAAAAAAATAAACGAACCTTCAGAACAAAGTAGAAGCTTTACGCTTAAAAATGAGACCAAGTAGATTCTTACGTGGTTTACAACAGTTTAAATTTTTCATCCTTAGTGTTCAGCTACGCTCCTTACTGCAACTGACGAGATTTCGCTTTTAATCGACTCAGTTATCGCCGAGCTGAAAACAGCCGAGTCAGCCGAGTCGATTTTAACAAATTGAGATTAATTATCTCCGGGCTTTCTTACCGAGATCGTCGCTCTCGAACAGAAGGTTCTCGTGCACGCCCAGCCGCCGGCAGAACTGTATGAAGTTCTCCATGTTGTCACGAGAAAAGAAGCTGCGACGCGCTGCGTTCTCCCAGCAGCGACCTTTTATCACCGGCATTGGCTGCAATACATCGATCATTGACAGGCATTGACATGGAACTTGGATCGATCGACAATCGTATTAATCTCTTAGCTGTGGCGAAGTTGTATTTCTGCACAGCAATGCCTGACCCGAACAGTGCGAAATAGTGTAACAATAAAATTTATTTAGTTTACACTGTTACGTTAGAATAAATTTTGAATAAATGAAAATTTTGAAATTGAAAATATGAATAGGCAAATATACATAAGTTTATTCTATATTATATATTAATCTATTAATTTATTTACCAATTTATTTATTTTATCATTTATTAATTTATTAATTTATTTATTAATTTAGTTATTTTTATTTGAGAAATCAACAACAGCGTATATGTATAGCTTTCTTCGACTCGATTGTGAGAAACGAGTCACTATAAATCGATAATGAACCACTATAAACCAATAATGAGTCATTATAAACCGAAAATTCAGTTTTTGTGTAAACTGATGAAATTAATGTCTTTTAATGACAAATTTAATGGTGTATTTTGCAAAAAGCCTTATGTTTAAACAATATATTTACAAAACTGCTATCATTTTTTTGCTGGTTTTTCGACAAGTAAATGTTGATGCATTTTCTCGAATGTCTGTTTATGAAAACTATAACATTCAAACACAAATTACGGACAAAATTCAAAAAAATTCATTACTTTTTAGAGTAAAAATGAGTCACTATAGTGTAAAAAAACTGATATACGCGAAAATTATTATAGCAGCTTTTTCAGTAGCTAAGAGGTTAAAGTTCAAATTCGCTGCTCTCCAAAAAACAAACTGTGCTACTGGCACCATTGTTTCCTAAACAAATCTATCGGGGTTACTCACCCCTTTCGCTTTTCCAGCGTCGATCGCTGTCCTCGCCTTTTCCTGGATGATCCTCGCCAGTCGACATACCACCACGCCATTGTCCAAAGCATCGAAGAAATTGTCGCCCGACACGATCTCAGAGTCTGGACATAAAAAGAATCGCGCGTCTTAGAAAATTCATTTTCTGTTGATCGACGGCTCGTTCTACCAACAGGCCAACAATGTCAGGGAAAGTCCAAATGACTTATAAACAATAAATAATAAATAATAAATAATAAATAATAATAAATAATAAATAAAAAATAAAAAATAATAAATAATAAATAAATAATAAATAATAAATAATAAATAAATAATAAATAATAAATAAATAATAAATAAAAAATAAATAATAAATAAATAATAAAATAACTTGTAATTTTTTAGAGTAATTTTAATTCGAATGATTTTTGTAAAATATACGAATAAAAATTCATGTTTGTCGTCGTTTTCTTATTGCTCGCATGCTAATTCCATTGACTCGATTTTTATACTTTAATCCTCTAGTTCGAGTGTTCATCTCTGCGTCGGCTCAACGTATTGCGTAAACGGCCTCTCAGAGGCTGTCGAGAGCATCGGCCAAGTGGCCGTCATTGTTGAAAACAATGGGGGCAGCTCCCCTTCGAGCACCCCATCGTAGTCGAATTCTCCTTCGAGCAAGGGTAATTTTCGCTTTGTCGCGGAATTTCTTGCGCACCGGCCAGGCGTTTTTGAACAATGTTGTACAAATTTCGAGCAATGTACGTACAAAAGTGATCCGGAACAGAGTGCTGAACAATTTCACGGACGTTTCGCTGTCAGGCGAAATTGTCGCGGCTCGTCAAAGGCGACCAAAGGTCTCCGAGATGACACGAGCACGTCGGTGAACGTGAGAAATCGTGGAACAGATTGCTTCAGATTTATCTATGAAACCGCTACTCCCGCTACTTCCGCAGGGAGTGACGACCCCACTTGGTCCCACCTAGACCGAGGTATGCAAGGACCTCTCTTGGGAAGAGAGACTCGTCTGCGCCAGGTATGACCAGTACGGTGTAATCAGTACCCTCACTGATACCGAGGGGTTGACACACGGATGTAAAGAATATAGAATTATAGAATTTATAGAATTATAGAATTTATAGAATTTATAGAATTATAGAATTTATAGAATTTACAGAATTATAGAATTTACAGAATTATAGAATTTACAGAATTATAGGATTTACAGAATTATAGAATTTACATAATTATAGAATTTACAGAATTATAGAATTTATAGAATTATAGAATCCAATTGACTTCCATCTTTTCTTTTTTTGACTTGTGTATGCGTCGTAGTTTTTACCCGCATATAAAAAATGTAACGAGTTAAGTAATTAGTAACGTAGGTGTATGTGATGGCTGTTGTGTGATTTGCAGGAAAAATTTCAAAAAACCTCTGTCTTTACTTTCGAGTGTCATTTACAGTCTTCAGGTAGCATGTTCCTTTTGAGAATTTTGCGAGTCCTAGAAAGTCTACAGGATCAGTTTTTTTTCTTTAATGTGAATTTTGTTATATTGTCGACTTTCTTTGCACGTAGGAATTAGACTCTCGCGAGCAATAATAATCCCAGTGTCGCTGGCGAGAGTTTTTAGCTACGACAGCTTGCTCGGCCAAAACATTGATCGAATCATTTTCTTAAACGATTTTGAAATAGAATCTTTTTTAAATTTGCTGATTCAACATTTTGACAAGGGTCTAGAATTTTTTAAACAAACTTCAATCTTTCAAACCTAACTTAACCTAACTTAATTTAATTTTTCAAATATAACTTTAAATTTCCAAGACAGTTGAGATTTTTCAACGTTTTCACGCTCGTTTGAATTTTTACAACAATTTTACTATTTTACAATTTTACTTCCGAGGAAAACGTGTCCTCAGTTTTTCGCCGCGTGACGTAAAATCATTCTCTTATTAAAGGAACAAATTCACGACTGTCAAAGTACAATCTTCGTGCTTTAAAACGAGACCAAATGGATCGTTATATGATCTTTCTTTACGAAGTTATATCAGTTTAAAACATCGACAATTTTTCATTGTTGTTGGTACAGTTATGCTTCTCACTGTATATTATAAATTATATATATAATTATTATATATTTAAAAAACGATAATATATCCAGAGTTTCTTTCCCTCCCTGATCAAGGTGACAAGTTGCGCGATGACGAAATAAAAGTTGTCGCGCCGCCGTCTGTTTTATGGCAACTGGTTATTGCGGTAATGTATCGCGTTCGAATTAATGCATCGATGGAACAATGCCAAGGACGACACAGGCGGGATATTCTAAAAAAGGCTCGAACTGTTGGTTAAAGAGGCCAGACGAATGTTTTAAGTCGAAGGGTAGCGTATCAAGGACGAGAAGAGGATGCAAACTCTTTGATTTACACTCTTAAAAAAATAGAAATTGCAATACAGTCTGCATTAAAATAGAAATCGTAGGAAGATTTCTTTCTGAAGAAGATGGATGTCACAGAGTCTGAAAAGTTCTCTCGTAGATTAGTTATGTGTCTCCATGGGACGCAAACTCTTTATTAAATTCTATATTAAAATAGAAATTATAATATAAAATTATAATACAAAGTATAGAACAAATATTAAAATAGAAATTGTAGGAAGATTTCTTTTCGAAATAAATGGATGCCACGGTGTCTGAAAAGTTCACTCGTAGATTGGTTGTGCGTTTCCATAGTATGCAGACTGTTTAATTTATTAAATTTAATATTAAAATAGAAATTATAATATAGTCCCACAAAATTACGATAAAAAGTATAATGCAGGTATTTAAATAGAAATTGTAGGAAGATTTCTTTTCGAAGAAGATGGATGTCACAATGTCTGAAAAGTTCTCTCGTAGATTAGTTGTGCGTCTCCGTGGGACGAAAAACTTTTCATTAAATTCTACATTAAAATAGAAATCATAATATAGTCTTATAAAATTACAATAGAAAGTATAACATAATAGGTATTAAAATAGAAATTGCAAAAAGATTTCTATTCGAAGTAGATGGATGCCACGGTGTTTGAAAAGTTCACTCGTAGATTAGTTGTGCGTCTCCATGGTGTGCAGACTGTTTAATTTATTAAATTTTATATTAAAATAAAAATATACAATATGGTCCTACAAAATTACAATAAAAATTATAATACAGATATTTAAATAGAATTATAAAATTATAATACAGATATTTAAATAGAAATTGTAGGAAGAAGAACATGAATGTCACAGTGTCTGAAAAGTTCTCTCGTAGATTAGTTGTGCGTCTCCGTGGGACGCGAACTCTTTATTAAAATCCACATTAAAACAGAAATTGCAGAATGATTTCTGTTCGTTCGAGCGAAGTTTCATGAATCGTTGACTTGGTAGAATTGTAAATTCAAACTGCGCGAGGTTAGCTGAAAAATTCGTTGAACCATCAAACGCCAGGACTTTATTTATCCCTTCGCTCAAAACGGCCGGTAAAATGTGAAACGCAGGTTAGATCTATCGGGAAGCCGGTTCCTGGTGACCGAGTTGCTCGTTGCTCGCCGCGCGGTTCACGCTCAAATACGCTCACGCTCGTGAGCTTTCGCAAGATCGAGCGAGGGACGTTAGACGAGTGCCGTGTACTACGAGAGCAATCGTCGTTATCACGAGCTCGTCGCGCTCGTTTTCTGTGTCCTGCCTCTCGCGACCGGTGTGCGAACGATATTCGCCAACACACGGACGAACACGCGCGTGTAGGTCGCAAACGGAGCAACGTGTGACGAACTTTACTCCATAAGTCTGCCTGTTAACAGTTTTTTTTTTTCCTTCCCCTCTCTCGTTTCGCCCCCGGGTGCAACCCTATTGTTACCGAGTAGGGCCAAGTCACGAGCCACGAGTCCGCTCGGTTCTCATTACCATCCGTATCTACGAGGTTTTATCGCTCTGTCAGCCCAACCTAGTTCCTATTTCCCATCGTATTCCCCAGCTGTATCTGCGCGCCTTTATATACGTGGCACGGATCGTGTCGCGGCCCATCGGCTTTTCCTTAGATTCTCGCCCTCCCGTGTCCCTCCATCCATCCATTCCTGCAGCGTGGGAGAACCGTGCCTGCTGCTCATTTCTCTCTCTCTCTCTCTCTCTCTCTCTCTCTCTCTCTCTCTCTCTCTCTCTTTCTCTTTCTCTGTGAATGTATGTATGTACGCGGCCTAACTTTGCACGTGCACGTTCGAAACACGGTGCACCGCGATGCTCGGTCCTGGTACCGAGTCGCGTCCTGCGTTCGAAAAATCCCGGCCTTCCGATCCTGCCCGCGAGCCAACGCTCGAAACGAAATTGAAACAATCTCGCGCGGTCACGCAAGAATTTCCCTTGTCGTGAGATGGCTTCTCGCTTGACCGAGAGGAGGTTCTACTGTTGTGTGAACGAGAATCGATTCGAAACGTAGAGATTTTACGTGTCTGTAGCGATCTCGAAGGTCTAGCAGACACAGCGATCAGGCATCAACTTTAATTCCTAAAGATTGAATTGTTCACGACATGAATAACATCTAATGACGGAACAATTAATCGTAATGAAATTTTAACTGGAATAATATCGATCAAAGTTGATTTAAATTTGTATAATTATTTGTGTAACAATTGATTTCATAATTATTAAATTCTGGATATTCGTAAGATCAATATCATTGATGACCAATCGCTTTAATAGAAAAATAACGATTAAATATTTCGTGAAAATTTTTAGTAACGGATAACGAATTATTAATAAAAATAAATAAATAAATAAATAAATATTGGTATTAAAGTTCAGATAATTTCTAGTGTATGATTCTTTTAATAAAGATAGAATTTAAAAATTTATTTAGTATCAAATCTAAAATAAAATACAATGTCAATGAAATAATTATAATTATAAATGATATAATAAAATTATGAAATTAAATTAAATTATCTGAATATAATGAATTTGAATCTTGAAATGTTATTATATTTCATGTTGAAGTCCTCGCGATCAACGCGTTCCTCTCGCAACATAGATGTGCGATATTTTTATTATATTTCTTTTTTTATATTTTTATTTTATATTTTATTTATACTTTATTTTATCAAATTTGAATTTT